GAAAATGTCCAGGAAGGAATATCAGAATCGCCTAGTTAACTAGCTCGTGGGTTTTCAAGGCCATCCCAAGCCCAGGTATAGAGGGAGGGTTTGGAGTGGGGTTGATAACCCTACACCACTAAAACTACCAAAATCTACAGGAATTTCAACGCAAGGAAAATGTGGTAAAAATACAAAAAATCGAAACAACAGTTTTATTTTCCTCTCGAGGCGGATAGGCGAAATGACACAGTAGGCTGGTGAAGGAAGAGAACTCATCATGGGTCGAGAGACTGTCGCTCGGGGAAATGAATGAGAACGGAGAACTATGGAGGACTTCTGCTCTTTCAATGATTTCGTGATTGGAGGGAGCGTGTACAAGCACAAGGATATACACAAGGCCAGTGACATGGAATTCACCTGACGGTCACGCCACAAACCAGATAGATTTCATCTCAATGCTTCTGCTCAAGGAAGTGGAGATGCAGTCAGCCTGCTGGATGCGAAGTCGAGAAGGGGAGCAGATATGTACTCAGACCATCATCTAGTTCAAAGAACCTTCAAGGTGTAGCTAAAATCCGTCAAGACAAATGGAGAAAGACCGCTGTATTTCAAGTTCAACATTCAGAAACTGATGGACGGAACTATATGGGACGCCTACCTTCACTACAGGTTTGATCACAGCAAGTTCGGAGACACCACATGGCATCACTGAGGTAACCTGCGTGGAAGAACATTGAAACTCTCTGAGCGCGATATTCAAGGAAACGTGGAAGACTGTTCTAGGAAGAAGGAAGGGATACGACAATGAATGGCTATCAACGGACACCTACCTGGAAGTTAATCAAAGAGAGGAACGGAGAGAAGAGGAGGATGGTGGAAGAGAAGATGACTCAATGCAAAGATGGACAACAGGAGAAGGAGAAGCTGAGTTCAATGTACACTGCACTGAATAAGGAGAGGAGTGAAGAAGTGTGCTGAGAAAGACGAAATACAATTGTAAGACGCACTAACCGGAAACTGAAGCAGAGCAGGTGGGCCGCAGGTTAAAGACATCTCAGAACATTATATCAGATAACCATGTCACTCGCTATCCGGGAAGAGATCAACCCAGATGATGAAACCAATAAAAGATGCTCAAGAGAACCTAATCACCAAGGAGGAGAAACAAATCAAACAATAGTTTGATCACTCTTAAGGACTCTTGAATCAACAATCAGCCGTAACTCACCCGGAAATACTACAAACAACAACAACAACAAAAACACGCACGTAACTGCCTGCCAGTGGACACCACTCCTCCAACGAAAGCGGAAATTCTGAATGCGATGAAGCTACTGAATTCCGACAGAGGGGGGATAGCAGGACCAGATGGACTTCCCCCAAGCACTGAAAATGGACCGAGAGACCACAGCAGATGGGCTCACGACATTACTGCGAAAGGTGTGGAAAGAAGGAAGGGTACCCACTGATTGTAAGAAAGGCTACCTCGTCAAGCTGTGAGAGAAGGGAGACTTACGCCCGTGCAAGAACTGACTGGCGCGAAATAATGCCCTTGTCCACTCCAAGTGAAATACTATTTCGCATAATCCTGGGGAGAATAAAAGACGCACTTGATATAGGACTCCGCTCTGAACAAGATGAACCCAAAAAAGGAAAATCATATGACAATCAAATCGCGAATCTACGCATCGTCATCACAGAACAAAGCACAGAATGACAGTCAAAACTCTCTCAACTTCGAGAACGCCTTCGACAGACAGTGCTTTTCGAGAAATAATTTGGAAACTGTTTCAACACTACGGTGTGTGATGCCCAAATTTTTATCAACCCCACTCAACAGCTGACTATATGACAATGCCACGTGTTAGTCAGGTGGTCCACAACGGGAAACTCAGCGAGGTGTTTGAAGTGCATACAGGATTAGGACATGCCTACCTGCCAGGATGTTCTCCTCTTCCTGAAATATCTTTTAATCAAGTGGTGGCATAGCACTCACCCAAATATACGCTGTCAACTGATTGGCCATAACTATCAGCAGGAAATGGAACGATGTTTGGTTTGTCGCTCAACTTTGGTGGTGACCCTAGTGAACGGTTTACAATTTAACATTTATAAGAACCTGTTCTGATCGCTTGTACCATTGTCGAACAATTTAAACTTTTGAAAAAGTATAAATTATGATACTCCACGATTGTGATTTATAACATAACTGATCGTGACTATAAAACTGGCATGCATTTCTTCTTAACACCAGTTTATACGAAGTATACATTATTATTATTAAATTATCATTATTATCACCCACGATGATATTCTTAATTGTGGTGGACTGGATTATGCGTCAGATTGCGCTTGGGAGTGAGGGGACAGGAATACGCTGGATCACTGATAAGAAGACTCTAGAAGATCTGGATTTCGCGCGTGGACGATATATGCCTAATGTCACACAAACTCAAAGAATTACAGGCAAGCGAAAACCTAGAAACTGGTGGAATAAGCAAGCAGGCAACGAAGACAGGACTGCAGGTGAACACAGAAGACGGAGGTGATGAAGATAACCGACGAACAGCAACAACAACAACAACCAGCACCAATCATCATCAACGGGAGAGATTTATTAGAGGGTACTTCCTGCCTTCACTTATCTAGGAAGCCAGCATCGTTTCAACTACAGGCAGTGAGAATGGATGAAGATGTGAAAGCCAGCCAACCAGTATCGGAAAGGCAAGATACGCACGCTCTCATCAACCTGAAAACAGTTTGGAAATCTTCTGTACAGCACTCCATCTCAGCATAAAGAACAAGATTCTGATTTTCAACACAAATGTGAAGTCAGTCAGTCAGTTCTTCTATATGCGTGAGGAACTTGCACTGCGTGTCACGAGGAGGATTTCCAACAGCCTGGTGCAGACTATCATCATCAGCTGCCTCCTTCACTGGCTGGTTCCATACTGAAGATCAAATGGCCAGCTGGACAGAAAGAATTAGCAACAATAAACTTTGGCCGGGAACAAACCAACCAAGATATGATCGCTCAACAAATAAATAGGAGGAAGTGGAGATGGATTGTGCAAAAATTAAGGATGTCATCGAATGATATCGAGTGCAATACAGCCAATTACTCGAGTGGAATCCAAATGGGAAGGGACGAGTGGGTGGTAGGTGTGAAGGTGACATGTATGAGATTGTGCAAAGAGTAGATGAGAGATTATGGGGAATTGTGGACCCAGCTGAAGAGGATGGTAGAAAACATAACAACGTGGGGATGTGTTGTTGAAGCCCTACGTGCCACTCGGAACCCTAGGGAATAATAATAAAATATTTAAACACTGTGTCTTTCATTCGAGATCTTCACTTTATTATTTTAAATATAAACCATTTCTTCGTAGTCATCTAGATATGAAAGTCTATTTTTATGGTATATTGAATTACCAGCGTTTCTCTTTCCCTAATCAATTATATTTTTAAAATCTACTTTTTTGCTGAAGATAAATTTTTCACTTTCCCCACCTTTCGTGAGTGCTTTATGCCTTAAATTCAACTCAAAAAATAATAACTATCAATATGCGAGAGACCTAACCACTGTGCATCGGTGGCACAGTGGTCCGGCACCGACCATGCACATGGTCCAGAGTTCGATCCCCAGCCGTCGTACACCTGACATCTATGGTCGGCCTGCAAAATTTGAGCTACCGATATCACATGCTGAAAATTCCATACCTGTAACAAAAAGTACGGTGTGAAAGCAATCTGTAATAAAAAAAATGATTTACCTGGTGTGAACGTGTTATGAACAGGTATGATTGACCAACTTGAAGATTTGGACAGGCACAACGTGTATGACGTTTATCTGTAGGATTAGTTTTAAGCCTTACCCAAACACGATAGGCTGGTAGATTTGGTGAGGCGGTTTTCGGTAATAAGTGCTCTGCTGCTCCAATTATACGCCAAGTATTTTGAATTCCAACTTCAAGGCGCATTAAATCTCCGTGAATTTCGCGGGATTTGATAATACCACGGAACACTATTTTGTTTAGAAAAAGAATGTGTTGATTGATTGTATTTTAAAACTGTTTGGAATGTCTCACTATTTTACGGTGAAATAATTCTGTCATAGTGAACAGTAATGCAAACTTACGCATGTAGTCAGGTTTCAGTATCTATCTGCTGATCTCTTTACTATTTCCGATAAATTGCTTAGTTTCTCTTACAAGATATTTGGTTATATTATCTAGGTTCTGTAGAATGCCAGTTTATTCACCTGTTAAAAATAACACACAACTTATACGCTGATAACCATATGTTTTCGACCCCTTTAAATATCAATTCCACTGAGGCTTGCATCAATACCTCAGTTTTCGTGAGTATTACCCACCCAGCCACACTGTCAATTATCAAGATATATTGATTGTTCAGTAAAATTCAGTCAAACTAAAAATCAGACTTAGGAGACAATTTTAATACTTTTGTTGCGTAACATGACTCTCAGTAACCTAGTTAAACCACAAGTAGTACGCTGAGATCTTGTGAATTTCACTTTATAGAATGATAGATGTACAGAGGGAATGCAATAAAAGTATTGATTACGCATTTGATAGGACTACCTAACACATCGGAGAATTAGTTATACTTCAGTTACTAAGTTAACTAAACAGCCACTGGTAGGCATGTGGCTAAGGTTTGGGTGAAGGCTTGTTTCGCGATAAGATTGGAACCAGTGGTCTTTGAATTTCCAGTGTCTAGTGGAGATGAATAAAAGTTATAGGAACTTACTAATACTCCCCCTGGCCCACTAGATGAACCTTGTGGGTTTCTCAAGTCATATCTCTGGTTCTCATGAAAACTTGGCATAACTGTCAATGAATGAAATGGCACTAAGACCTGGCAGACGTCTCCACAGCAGGCAGGTAACCAGAAGCCTCAGTTTTAATCTCAGCCAAATTTCACTGAATCGGTTTGAAAACCGAAACTATATCACTTAGGTTGATCGAAACTAATTATAGTCATCAAAAGTGGCATATAATATTGAAAACACAGGTACTGTACGACCGAAGTAAAATTCAGCTTTGGCTATCAAAACAATCTGTATTAAATAAGTTTATTTTAAATAACGCACAGTGATATAGTATTGATAAGTGTATGACGTTTCGAGCAGAGTTTATTGCTCATAATCATATCAATGTATTCATACAGTTTCATAAAGTGATTTATATATTTTCTCAGCACTCCCTGTTATTCATGGCGATATTCTCCATATGCAGTATACTGTTGTGTCATTTCGGTTGCACGTGTTTGACACTGATTCGATGGACAGAGACTTGATAATCAACTTCTCTCCCCACCTAACTACACTACTTTTTATTACCTTTGACCCTGTCCTACTCGATTGGGTGATTCCAGTGAACGCATTGTGATGGCTGAGATTATTTAACTTAACTTTAGCTAAATTCCTATGTTAACAAAGCAGGATATCGCATTAGGCCAGCAGATGACTTTAGGAACACACTGACATACGTGTTATCTAATTATTTAGCGTCAAGATTATGCCCCATTACAGGTAGGTTAAATTGTAGGCTAACTGATTCCTATGGAATGAAACAGAAACTGGTGCAAATTCAATTAAAAGATGATTAGTTTTGACATAACCAGTCTATATACTAAAATTCTGATTAATACAGCTCTGGAGGCAGTCAGGAATGAAATGAACATGTATCCTGAACTCAAAAGGAGGAGTAAGCTTTCGGTTGATGAAATTATATTAGGTGTTCAATTATGTCTAACCTCCACTGTACTCGAATTTCAAAACAAACTATATCAACAGAAGAATGGGGTGACGGTGTGATCATCAATATCTCCAATAGTAGCAGAGATATTTATGAACAGTTCTTAGTTCTTAGAACTTTTAATCCTACTCCTAGGTTGTGATGGAGTAATGATGTTTTTTAAACCATGTTATTGATGTATTAATGAATGATTTATTAAAGGTAGAGTACATATACGTGTAGTTATGAAAGTAACGTTGATAGATGCACAACTCAGAGGGCCACTAGGCTTAGTACGCAGCTTTAAATCCATTTGCAAAATGTCAGGATGTCACACACAAGAGAAAACTTCATACAGCAATTGGATGGATTTCGGGATGATATAAAAAAATGTTTGGTTTTATGTGCCATGATAAAATATGAGGGTAAATTTTTAAACTCCGGTAAGTTGTGCTACAACATCTGTTACTCCAATGAGGACTTACACAATTCCGTAGAAATCACATCCACCAGTGGACTTGTCTGTTAGATGAAGTGATTTTCCCTTTTGCTTAACAAGCTAGTACACTAAGGATGATGAACAGCACCTTAACATCCATGAGTTTTTCTAATTAGTACATTTTTCAAGAATTTAATCTCTCAGTTCTTGCATACTGGGACTGAAAACACTATTGGCTGTTCCGTATCACACAGTGAAACAGTATTATTTACTGGATGACCTTTCGGACACAATGTATAGTTCATAACACTATCAAGTGTATCCACACAATTTGAAAACTTGACTTCAATAGTTTTCTTTCTTCGTTCCCAGTGGTCTCAAGGGTGGTAGAATTTTCCATATATTCAAGACATCTGCTGAATTATTTCTATTGCATTTATCCGTAGTTGATTTGATAAGAAAAGCTTCAGTAAACAATTAATCCTTTTGACCTATTACATAAAATTTCTAACTGTCACTTTATCCCATTCTATCAAGTAGTGGTGTATGACTTCATGTCGTGCTTTAGTTAATCTACTGAGAAATAAATATGACAACGAGCCAAATGGAATCCAGATCTTAATAAATGACAACCACAATGATAACTGAAACGAAACTTACCGGCTTCACAACGACAAAACTTCTTAAACCGTATTCTCTTTTTACTTTTCTCACATGGAGGACATTTGGAACCTGAATCAAATTGAATAGATAATCCAAGGTTACAAAGTCCATTTACATACAGAAGGGATAAATACATCATTAAAATGAAAACTGTTAATAGCAATACTTGGTATTCTTTGTTTCCCCCTATTTTGTAAAATAGTCTGGCGAATAATAACTTACTGTTGCATTACCAGAGTTGTGTAATAAAAGACCTGATATCTTGAGCATAGGTTTTTGTGCTTATCATCTCTCACCATCTAGGTGAGAGGTATCCGTATTCTGAGTAGAAATGTTACTGACTACAGTAGTAGAATTGCTTTCCAAAAGCCTTGAAGGAACAATAGCTCATTGATGAAGGTGAATACTAACAATCTGATCGCACAGATCAACAACCGCTTAGAGTACACCGATATCGGAATAGTTCATATTCTAGCATATCCTCAGTATTTAATAACAACAGACCTGCATTAACCATTGTAAATATTTTCTTCTTCAATTGGTTAAGGATCTGTGAGGTATAATTAATTACTGCTCGTTAGTCCCATCATCACTTTTATTAACAAAAGTCTCAAGTGCTTTATGGACATTTTCCCTAATACCTGACTGTATGACTTATTTCATCTTTACATTTGCTGTTTCTAAATAAGCGCGTATCAGTATAGATGCAACAGATCTTACTTTAGATAAATAATCAATCCTCAGGATTAGTAGAACACGATGTTATTCATTCTTGTTCAGCTGAATGTGTTCTCCCTCCTTAAGAAAGATATGAATATACTCCATCCTTAAGCCTATAACCAATGCATAATGTAACAGTAAAGGCAATAATTAGTACACTCCGAAGCAGTATAGGTTTATTAAGTGAAAACTGTACAGTCTCTTGGTATCAGCTTCTCCGAAATCACCGTAAAAGTGATGAATGTATCGTGTACAACAACTTTATTTCTAATCAGCGAATTAATTTACTGAACATGAAAGAAAGCGGAAATTGAAAAAATAGTACAACTGTGTTAGGGTAAGTGTGAAGTTACCTTTACGAATAAATTATTCTACTGTCAACGCCAAGAATGTTAAGATTGAGCATAAGAAGTTCACTCATATTTTACTGAGTACGTTTATACTACTTAAACGCGATAACTAGTATTATTTATTTATTTAAGGTAATTTCGTACTTCCTGTTGATCGATTTATTTTCGACCGAAATGTCCCGTCTCTGCTGACAGACTCTGCGACGATGCCTGACAACATCGTGATAACATGTAGTATGGTATTTCACCCATAATTTCACGCTGATTGACTTGGGTAAAGCAAAACCAAACACTGAAGCAAAATGACATATATCAATGGTTCTCGTCAGTTCTCCTTAGGTGTGTGCGACAGATGGGATTTATTGCATTCTATTATAGACAAATGTTTAGCACACTTTAACTCGTATGACAGAAGTGTATTAAGTCAGAGAGTACAAATATTATGTGCGATTTTGCTACTCCAAAAAATGAAACGAAAATGTCAGTTTAGTGTATGCTCTTTTCTTAACATTAATTCTGAAAATAAGTTTTTCTGCTAACTTCACCTACTTCGCGCTAAAATTCCCCTATGAACTAACAGGTAATGAAATTTAATTCACAAAGTAGCTAGAATTATCACACTGCATATGTCATTTGTTACTTCAAATGCTGCAGAAATGAGTCTCCCAGGTAGTAGTACACTTAGGCAAACTTATTGGATTTATAATGCTTCATCAATTTCGGTATAAGACAAATTAGTAGACAAGTTTGGGTTCAATTGTCAGACAAAAGTTGTCAATGGACGTGAACATTGAGCGTTTGTTTATTGGAACTGGCAGCCATTGGTGGGTAACTCGAAGGCGCGAATGGTTCGATCGCTTGCAAGTTGAATGAAGACGGGAGCAAATACGAATAAAAACTTTGTAGTTGTCTTCACTTTAATTGCCAGACAATATAATTTCGTTCAAGGAATACTGGTGTTTTGGATTTAAAGTTGAAAGAAATACACAGTCTTTATCGGTTGCAATAGGAACTAAGGGCCAAGTTCCTTGACAGAAGTCCTTAAATGAGAAGATTGAAGGCGAAAGTCTATGTGTGATTAAATTAAAAAGCGTCAGGAAAATTTTGTTTGTGAACCATTCACCTCTTGAGACTTAAAATTTACGATTTCATCTCCTTATAACTAAGCAAGTCTTTTATGTGTTAAACATATTCTGTTCATTGACATGTGTATACATAGATTCGTTACATCAAAGGTCATGTGGTAAGAGATGGTTGCTAGCCAAATTGGTTGACAGTAATTGAGGTCAAAGGTCAAGATGGACAGGCGGATACAGTTAATATATAGATGAACTGACACAGCCACAAGAGATGCAAGGTTAACTTTGTGTGAGAAACAACCAATCAACAGACTGTATTTTCTACTAACATTAACCTACAATAATGTACATCAAAATCTATAAATACGTGTTGATTTTCCGTAATAAACGTTCTGTTGCCTGGCCCTTGTCTTCTGTTGTTACAGTCATACGATCATCACCTTCTTTTACAGTGTTAACACTCACCGTTCGTGTCACATGATACAGTCGATTAAGTGTAGTTTACTCACAGGTTCACTAACTTCAAAATTAACTAGACTAAAAATATGAGCGTTTGGTGACTTTTTGGACGTTATCACTTTCATCTTTAATAGTGATTGACTTAACATAGAAATATGTTGCTTAATTTGACTCATCATCAAATTCTTAATGTTAAGTGAATACTATTCATTAAGTCCATCACGAATTCAATAGACTGACAGTTATATCTTTAACTTATTCTCTAGATGATATGTATTGGAATTTCTGTGAAGACTTCGAATCTTTCAAAGTTACAGATATGTCTTGTCGATTAATACCTGTAAACATAAATCCAGGTCATGTAATTTCTGTACGCTACTTTCAATTGGTCACTATCATTTAAAATGGCATAGTGATGACAAGACCACGAGACAGGTGTGAACGAGTTGAAATCTATTTTGGTAACATTTGAGTGATACTACGAACTAAGAAATGTGGATGGGACGCCTACCCTCCAGTGGCCAATCTATGTAACAAATTTATAGAATATTTTCCACTTGACTAATTCAGTTTGTTGTCATCTGGTAAACCAGTCACTGTGAAATGTTCAACAGAACAGAAAGTCGACTGCATACTAAAGTGGTGCATATTGGTGAATAACAGAAAGATAAATAATTTGATCCTGTAGTTTGTAGTCAAGAAAATAATTTGTCAATTGAGAAAACACTTCTCTGAAAATAACTCTCAAAATAATTTTACCACTTACTTGGTTCTGGTTTCATTTGTTCAGATTTAACAGGAAGAGCTGAACCAATGAAAATGGAAAAAAAGCAATATAATTAACACAGAACCAAATTTAATCATATTGTTGTTAGTTAATATTTATTTTCCTTCCTAGAAGGCTATCACAGTGAATGAGCACTTTTTATGTAAAATCCTAGATTTGATTGATTTAAAGCCGAACTCTAAGGTTGACTACAGGTATGCACACTGATAAGAAGAAAATTTTGGAGAAAGAATAACTTGAAAGAATTAAACCAGTCAAATAGCCATATTTATTTCCCCATACATTCAACAAGCGATATAGTCTGATAATTATCAACAGATGTAAACGCAAAACTTTATTCACCCTATCCTATTTCAAAGTCTAGATAAGAGCATGAATGTTAATCCAACACTAAATATTTACTGAATATCTCTAACTGATATCAATCCGTGATCAACTCGTAAAAAATATCTATTTACAAAAAATCAGTGGACAGCATGTCTAAACAATCTGTGTCATTTCAGTCTTCAGATGAATTATGAAACATTAACCCTCTAACGCTCAATAAATTTTTGAATCCAGTTTGTAATTTAGAATGTATTGTTTTTATCCTACAATTCAACTTCAGTGGTCTTTCTTTTCAGTATACTAACTAAGAGATATAAATATGTTGGAAGCATTCATTTGGAAGCGTACTGAAGGTCGGGATTGTTTGAGCCACTACTTCCAGTGATATTCTACCTGTCAAATATAGCGCACACTTCAGATGACGTCTTCCAAACAAAATTAACTCGCATTGTACAAGAACTGAGCGTTTCTGATAGTTAACATGCAGTGAAAGATACCTGAGACAAATCTCAATTTACTTAAAAAAAGAGAGATTTTCGATTCTCACAATGATTTTTAGAATTCTTGACATTCATTTTGGTTATCTAACTTCTTTCTACTACTCATCATTCCCAAAGAAAATACAGGTATTAATTATGATTTGCAGTCCTCATCACAGCATGCTAATAGCAATGCTGAATATTCTTTTACTGGAAATTGAAACTAAAAGGGTCTGCATTACAATCGGTAAGACACTTAAAATGACCATGTTTTTATGGTCTCAGTAAGTGTTTTTCATGCTTTTTAGATATGTTAAAAACGCTTAATATCTAAGAAGTCTCACTAAGATGTCTCAGGCTTTAACCATAATAAAAAGACAAACTGAGTCAGCATGCAATATTTCCTTATATAACGTAATATGGGACAAATGTGAAAGTGTTTTTATTTTTGGGACATCAAATGCTCATGTTTCATTTATCTTTCATGATATTAACGTTACACTGCATTTTGAATAAACCCTCAAGAACCTATGGAATTCATTTTATTGTCCAATTTACACAAGACTATCTCTGCCTTCAGTAGCCATTGAAGTGTAACCAGAGTCATGCTGGTTACTTCATCGCACTTTAATGGCTTCTCTGGATTGTTTGTAATATATTTACAATAACAGGAGTTCAGATACTCCGATTAATTTGTAATTGGTTTTGAGTAGTTGGAGGTGACTGACAGAAAGCCGTAAACTACATTTTGAGTTTACTGATCCCTTCCAGGATGACGTAATTAGAACTTCGGATGACTTGACATTGCACCATAAATGTATACACATAGCACATTGTGCTGACATGCAGAATCTGATGCATGAGTGACTGCATTGCAAGCTTGGTCGACAGGATATGATCAGAATTGAGAACTAGACCATATGACTCTCGCCTCTCTCCAGCAACCAGTTGATGTACACAACAAAAACTATAAGCACGTCATTCATAACCACAGTGGTAATGACTTTGGCTACAATAGTGAAAGATGAAGGCTAGAATTTCAGAAGTGAAATCAACTCCTCTTAGGTTAAAGACATACCTTATTGAAAATTACTGAAGGCAATCAATAAGCGTCATGTTAAATCCCTACCTTGTAGCTCATACTCAGACAAAAAATTACCCCTGTTACATGCTCATTACACAGACCTGGTTTGTCAGCTAAGTAATCAAAGAAAATGCTTTCCCCTGAATAAATTTCATCTCCCTACATATTCAGATTTAAATAAAGCAGTCTTCATATCCTTCTCTTCTTTGAAATTCAATATGAATTAGATCAGTTTCATACCTCTTACAGCAGACTATTCAAATCTTCAACAACTTTCTTCTTCATTTCCTTAATATTTTATATCTATAGTTAGAACAGTAATCATGGAAATATGTTTCTAGGTCGACAGGAAGAACAGAATTTGTGAAAGAGAACATTTTCTTCTTGCGATGGAATTAAGATTTATCTTATTCATCCGTTTTCTTTATTTTGATGTCCAAACATGGAGAGAACCCTTAAAACTGAAGAGAAATAACGACATCAGTCAATATACTCATGATGAGCAATACTGCTTATAAATAAACTTGCATACTACTTGTATGGTGTACGAACTATAATTAAGCGAGAAATAAACTGAGTTTGGGTAGCTAGTGTCTGTGTGTCTTGATGTGTGTATAAATGAAGAAAGAAGACAAAATAAGGGATACAGGTAAACAATAAGCAACTGTGCATATGTATATGTCTTTATGCATGTATACAAAACAGAAATAATGAAAACACATCATTTGTATAATAATTCTATACAAAGAAGTTAATAAGTAGTAATGTAATTTACTTTGTTCATTTCCCTTGAGAGAAAAGTAAAATGAAAAAGCAAGTTTTCCTCTCTGTAGAAACAGCCATCCAAGTGAGTGTTTTGCATAAGCTGGATAGAAAAATGTTGTTTTTCATTATATTCGGTTTAATAAAACTGATGTAACACAGTACAGAGTAGTTAATTAACTAGTTATTTAGTAATTCGGTCAATCGGATAATCACTTCAGGTTTATATACACGTGTAACACTTTAACTTAATGGAGTTTCTTTCTCTTGCTTCATCACTATGTTTCCCAATACTTGTTGGAGCAGTTTTCCACTCTCCTTTGATAAGTCTAAATGAAATAATGCAATTTCTCCCTACATAATGAAGAGCAAGAAGGAGGAAAGCTCAAAGAATTCAGATGCTGTTTTGTGTAGTTCAGACACCTTTACTGACTAAACTTAACAAGACTTACTACATAATAAACATGAATTAAAGCCTCTTTTTATGCTTTTCTCTTTCTGACTATTGCTTCACAAACACTTTTTTTTAAAGTTGCCCGAGGACCTTTTGTTTATATGTCCGTTATTTAAGAGCATAGAAATAGATTAAACATATTAAACATATCACTGCACGAGTAGACTCATACAGAAAAAAGTTAAACAGTGTGTTAGCACTTATAAGTTTCCAGACCGTAGATGTTACGAATTTCCTGGAATAATTTGAGCACCGAGTCAGACTGAATCACTATAAATTATTTTAAATAATCCCAGTGTATTTAAGAAAAGATCAAATCAAGATTTTTCCGAACATTTAGCTGTGTAAGCCACAGCTTCTTCAGCAGAATTACTCGGATTTTATTGATCATCAAAATATATAGTCAAAAAATTTTACATAAATTGAAGTCAGTTTATTTGAAGGTGACTTGTCCATAGACATTTGTACCAATAGAAATATGTATGATATCAATCCGTGATCAAATCGTAGAAACAAAACTAATCCTTACAAACCAACTATAGAAAAAGAAATATGTAAGCAGATATCATATATTTGTAATGACTTGTGTCAAATTGTCATTGTGTATATTTGTTTGTATGGGTGTATGTGAGTGTATGTTATTTGTCATATGGAAAAAACGTAAATTCACGTATGATAAACATGATAATATTTTTATACGGGCCAAAAAGGTTCAAAGAGGTTTTTGTTGTTTTTTTATCTGTCTTGCTTCATTAGAGTTTGCCATACAGGTGATAAGTCTATCCATTCTCTCCTGTTTACTGCATTCGATGTGGTTAAAAGGTGCAAGGCTTCACAGGTCAACCTTTCTTTATGTGAATAAAAGCCTCTTCCAAGAATTTCGACAGTGTCGAAATCAATTTATGTAATTTATGACTACATATTTTGATGATTAATAAAATCCGAATAATTCTGCTGGAGTTTGCTACTGCTTAGTTAAGAATTTCAAGTCATTGAATTTGACGGAGAAATCACTACATGTAACGCCACAGTATCACTTCGGGAAACTTAGATAAGAACTGTGTTTAAATTTTTATCTAAAACATCTTTATTGTTATACGATGTGCAGGATTTTCACTTCCATCAAGTTCTGTCAATACCGTTACTATTATTATTGATATTATGGGCACAACAGTGAATAAATCTTATGAAATGATTGCGAAATTCACAGAAAAACAATCGATTTCATTTAGGGGACTATTGAAAACAAGCGAGTACTTTTTTCCATTGACAACAAGTAGTTTGAAAACATATGACATTTTGAAACAATAGTGAAATTCATGTTCATCACTTCCTTTTTCCTTTGACTGGGTAGTGACGAATTCATGTAGAAGAGCGTCATATTAAGATTATAAAAATAGACTGTAATGACAGTTCACTACTTATTGAAAATAATTGTGAAATGTTTGTGAGAAAGCAAAAAAATCATTTGACATCAAAGAATTTTAACGATAACGAAAGGCAGATGTAATGTGAGTTCTCAACGGAGTGAGCAGACTGAAAAGCAAGAGGTATAATAGAAGTTATTTTAAAATTTAGTAAGACGGAATATCATTTCCCTAGGTATATGATGTTTCATTCAGTCAAGTTCTTCAAGCCCGAATCAGCTTTCTTACTGTTTTATGCCTTATACTGTGAAAAAATATTTAACTTGAATTCCACCCCTCGCGAAAATATTCAGTAAAAATTTTTACAAACTATGCAGTCCTTTGGTTTTTGGCGTTCTTACGTTCTCTAGGCTGGATTGAAAGTAACAGTTTCTGTCAAGAAAAACAATGAAAGCTTCTCAATCCAACCATAGAGCTAAGAGAACACTGAAAACACCTATCTGGTCTACAAATATCTTTCATTTCAAGATTCACCTTTTGTTTGT